TATAAAGATTGTTCGAATCTAACTGTATCGTTTGCGTCGATTTCGTCTATTCTATTCGTCGTATTCTATTGTAATTATCCAGTATTTTATTAGTCGTTTTAATTAAGTAGTTATTGATCGTGTACTGCCTGTTACTATTTCCTGTGAGGTCATTCGATGTAGTCACGATTTTGTCCCAGTAGGTTGCGTCTGGATTACCCGCGAGCCATTTCCAGGCTGAGCCAATCCAATTGATTGATCGTTTGTTCTTTTTAACGTTTCTAGCCCGTAACTGATCTAAAAGGTTATCGATTTGTGAGACTTGGTAGTCTAGCTGTGAAGCTAGAGGGCTTGTTCTGCTAGTTTGATAGCGTATAATGGGTTTGATGTCATTGAGAATTCGTTCATAATCGTCCAAGTCGATGGCGTGTATGATTTTGTAGTAACCGTTTGATATTTTTCCAATGCCCTCTTTTATAGTCACCAATGGGCTTTTGTATTCGTATATGTCCACTGTTGCTTCTATACCCCATGGTATCTGTTATTACTAGTGGTGATTGTTACATTATTGTCTTTCCCTAGGGTTTCTTTCTTTTTTGTTGTGCCAATTTAGCACCTTTTTTTGGTTCCTGGCGAGTTCGTGTCTGACGTCGTTACTAACAATATCCTTGAAGTCCTTCATTTCTTGATAATTTATTCTGTTCGTCCTGCCAAGGAAGATGTCGGATGGTTTCTTATTTGTTGCTGAGTGGATCGTATTATTATATCTATCAACAGCAATGTTAATGATCTCATTAACAGAAAAGTCGTGATATTCGGCTTGAAGACATCGAACTATTTCGATTATTGTAGAGTGGGTGCGTTCCACCGCACCATTTGCTTCGCTTTTCTGAGGAGGGGTCAAATAGATTTCTATTCCTAAGGCCTCCAAGTAGTTCAATGTGATTGGGCTAATAAAACTGCACTCATTGTCCATTACCAGCGTTTTCGGGACAGAGTAGAAATGAAGAAGCTTTATCAACTTGTCTCGGATATGTAGAACAGATTTATTTTTTATTCGGAAAAATTTTACGAATTTTGAGAGTTTATCCAGGCAGGTTATATATTTTTCCCCTGCAATTTCGATAATATCTATATGGAGAATCTCAGTGGGATACGATGGAACAGGTGTGGCTTGGATTTCAGGTTTGGGAGGTCGACGTTCGTACTTGTTACAATGGCAAATTTCACACGATTTTGTGTAATCTTTGATTAATTTGGCCATTTGAGGAAAATAAAATTTTTCCAATATTTGTTCTTTATTTTCTCTGCCGTTCCGATGAGCTCTTTTGTGTTCTTTTTTAATGATAAGGAACTTCTCTTCATCGGTAGCAACATCGCTCACTACCCTCTGGGTGATTCTAATTCTAAATCTCGAAAAGAATTCTTTAAAGATTTCCTGCAACAAGGGGATGTGTTTTTCTGGTATTTTAATTCCATTAACTAAATTTGGGTTTAGGTAATTTTTTAATATGGTTTTTATATTCTCCTTGCTAAGCCTTCTTTTTGACACGTAGTGCCTTTGATAATTGGGGTGTGGTTCTTCATGATGTTCTCGTTCTTGTCCTTCGGAAATGATTATCTGAGACTTAAATACATTAATAGGAGCTTCGCAATGAGGAATCAAATCTGTGTTGTCCTCTTCTGCGCTATGCTGGGAATTGTCATCTGTTGACGTTAAAACGTTAACTTCAGTTGGTAATCGCGATAGAGCATCGGCTACCGTGTTAGTTTTTCCAGGTTTGTATATTAACTTATAGTTGTACTCTTCTATCCTTGCCGTCCATCGTTTTAGTTCAGCATTGTTATTGCTGTTGCTTAAAGCGAAGGTGAGGGGTTGGTGATTGGTTAATATTTTTATTTCCCTTGCATCGTAAAGGTAGGTCCTAAGCTTGTCGAGTGCCCATATAATAGCGAGCATCTCCTTCTCAATAATTGAATAATTTTCCTCGGTTTTGTTAAGCGATCTGGAGACGTAAGTAATTGGCTTATCTTTGCCAATTTCGCCCTGAGAGAGGACAGCTCCAATAGCTACATTGGAAGCATCTGTTGTCAGGATGAAGGCTTTGGAGAAGTCCGGAAATGTAAGGATCTCCGACGACATAAGTAACTCTTTTAAGTCATTAAAAGATTTCATGGCTTCTTTGTTTAGTGAAATGCTAACCCTTTTAGATTGATTTGCTTTTGTTTGGGCGTAAATACCTCTTGTTAGGTTTGTGAGAGGCTTAGCAACTTTCGCAAAATCCCTTATAAATCTTCTGTAATAGGAAGCTAGTCCTAGGAAGCTTTTTAGTTCCTTCAAGTTTTTGGGTGGCAATATCCTTTTTATAGAGGAAATTTTTTCAGGGTCGGGTAGGATTCCATCCTGTATGACAACGTGTCCTAAAAATTCTACATTTGTCCTGAGGAATTTCGATTTTTCGCAGTTGACTTTTAGTCCTGATTTTTGAAGTAATTCAAACACAAGTTCTAAATTCTTTAAATGTTCTTCTTTATCTTTACATACGATGATAATATCATCAATGTAGACGTAACAACATTTACCAATTAAGGGTTTCAGAACATCATTAATCATCCTTTGGAAGATGGATGGCGCGTTTCTAAGTCCGAACGGTGACCTGGTAAACTCATATTTACCATTGGCCGTTGAAAACGCTGTTTTCTTTATATCCTTTCCCTTCATTTTGATCTGGTGAAATCCAGATGTTAAATCGGGGGTGGTGAAGTACTTGGATTTGCCTAAACTTGCTAATGTGTTATTTATATCCGGTATGGGATATGTGTCAGGAATAGTTACCGCATTTAAGCGTTTAAAATCTATAACTATCCTGTACCTTTTTTCCCCAGATGGGCATGGCTTCTTCGGCACTACCCATAAGGGAGAGTTGTAAGGACTTTTTGAAGGCCTAATTATGCCGTCTCTTAGCAACTCTTGTATCTGTTTATCTACTTCTTCCCTAAGACTTGCTGGGTAGGGGTATGATTTTGTGTAAACGGGTTCCTCCGTTGTTGTTTTAATTTCTGCGCGGACACTTGTGTCAATAGTGTCGCTGTCCGAAACAGGACCAAAAATTTCTGCGTATTTCCGCTTAATAG